GAGTGCAGTGGCGGATCTCGGCTCACTGCAAGCTCCGCCTCCCGGGTTCACGCCATTCTCCTGCTCAGCCTCCCAAGTAGCTGAGACTACAGGCGCCGCCCACCCACGCCCGGCTAATTTTTTTGTATTTTTAGTAGAGACGGGGTTTCCATATGTGTGTTACTCGGCCTCCCAAAGTGCTGGGATTACAGGCTTGAGCCACCGCGCCCGGCCCATACTAGGGTTTCAAGTAAGATTTGCAAGTTTTTTTTTGAAGGGTTCTTCTTCCCTTCCCCTCCCCACCTGAAAAAAGAAATGTGGGTAAGAAGCCTGTTCACCCACTTGGCCAGCACTACACATATTCCCAAGCTTCTAAGAAGGTGACAACCTTTTTCACCTTGTTTCTGACTCCTATTTTTGTTTAAGGGCCAAAGGTAAATGAATAAAGCTGGGCTGGTGCATTGGCCAGTATCTTTGCATATGGCCTAGGTCAGGCAGGCACACTTACTAGAGCCTCCTTCCCAGCATCAGGAAGCCCAAATGGAAACAAATCATTTATATGGCAGATAAAAGCAAAGGGAAAACTGTAAAGCAAGAGAATCAATGGCCTTAGCAGGGTCTCAAAGCATCTGCAACAAACCCCCTTCCCAGCCCCTCATTAGTACCTGATGATGAACAGTGGGTCCTCCCGGATCTTGCTGGCCATGTCAAGAAGGGAATTGGCACCTGATGGGGCAAAGATAGAGCCTGGGAGGAGTCCTGTTTCAGAAGAGCAGCCTGCCTCCTTCTCCTCCATCTTCTCAAAAACATATTTGTCAATGGGGCGCCCCAGCAGGTACTCATCACGGTTCACCATCCCACCAGGACCCTGGTACATCCAGTCCAACTTTTCTTCTTTTTTCCTGGTTCAAGGGAAGAAAAAGAAATAGAATTTCTTTAAAAAGCAGACTTCTGCAAACCTACACATAAAACCTGAACACAAGGGAGAGAGAACCACAGCTGATCAGAGAATTCATTCTACTGGCACCTACCATGCAATAAACACAGCACCCTGGCAGTGGCCGGCATCAAGAAATAGTGTGGGTCGAGGGCCGGGTGCCGTGGTTCACGCCTGTAATCCCAGCACTTTGGGAGGCAGAGGCGGGCAGATCACGAGGTCAGGAGATCGAGACCATCCTGGCTAACACTGCGAAACCCTGTCTCTACTAAAAAATACAAAAAAATTAGCCAGGCGTGGTGGCGGGTGCCTTGTAGTCCCGGCTACTCAGGAGGCTGAGGCAGGAGAATGGCATGAATCTGGGAGGCGGAGCTTGCAGTGAGGCGAGATCACACCATTGCACTCCAGCCTCGGTGACAGAGCAAGACTCCATCTCAAAAAAAAAAAAAAAAAGAAATAGTGTGGGTCGCGTTCTGTGGCTCATGCCTGTAATCCCACCACTTTGGGAGGCTGAAGCGGGCAGATCACTTGAGGTCAGGAGTTCGACACTAGCCTGGCCAACATAACAAAACCCTGTCTCTACTAAAAATACAAAACATTAGCCAGGCATGGTGGTGGGTGCCTGTAATCCCATCTATTCGGAAGGGTGAGGCAGGAAAATCACTTGAACCTGGGAGACAGAGGTTGCAGTAAGATGAGGCCACTGCACTCCAGCCTGGGTGACGGAGCCAGACCTTGTCTCAAATAAATAAATAAATGGTGACTGTCCTCATGAGGCTTACGAGTGAATGGAGAGAGAATATTCACACACATAAAGCAATTTATAAGGAAAACCAGTGTTCCTCAACATGGGGCGTGGATCTTGGCTCAGAGCTCCTCCAGTCTCCTTTACAAGGTCTTTATATTTTGCTTTCATTTCCAAGATGACCTAAAACAATGAACAAGCACATTCTACACCACCATCTTACCATCAAGAACAATTTCAGTGACCACATACGCAGTTGCATTGATTGTGCATCTTGGTGCTCGTGGGCACTCAGACACCAGCGGTAACACTACACATTCGAGGGGATGATGGGAGAAAATCAGAGGTAACTGAGTAAGTGACATTTTCAAGCCAAAAGAGCCAAACACTGAATACACGAATCATTAGGTAACTATCTGGGATTCACAAGTGAATAAACCCTGGTCTCGCCATCTAGGGGCCAAATTAAGTCACAGCATCATGCCATACAAACATTACCCTGGGGTTCTGGGAGAAAAAGTGGTGAGAAAGTGGAACCCTCATACCACAGACAGTAAAGGCAGGCTACATTCATAAGAGCATGCGTGGAAGCAGCCAACACTACATTCACACTGCAAGCAGAAAAGTAGTTTCATCGACAGTATTATCTATAACCTGAAACTTTTTTGGGTTTTTTTAATTAATTATTTATTTATTTATTTTGAGACGGAGCCTCACTCTGTCACCCAGGCTGGAGTGCAGTGGCCGGATCTCAGCTCATTGCAAGCTCCACCTCCCAGGTTTAGGCCATTCTCCTGCCTCAGCCTCCCAAGCAGCTGGGACTAGAGGCGCCCACCACCTCGCCCGGGTAGTTTTTTGTATTTTTTAGTAGAGACGGGGTTTCACCGTGTTAGCCAGGATGGTCTCGATCTCCCGACCTCGTGATTCACCTGTCTCGGCCTCCCAAAGTGCTGGGATTACAGGCGTGAGCCACCGCGCCCGGCCTTTTTTTTTTTTTTTTTAAACACAGGGTCTCACTCTGTCACCCAGGCTGGAATGCAGTGGTGCGATCATGGCTCACTGAAGCCTTGAACTCCTGGGCTCAAAAATCCTCCTGCCTCAGCCTCCCAAGTAGCTGGGACTACAGGGATGCACAACCATGCCTCCCTGATTTTTTATTTTTTCAATGCTTATAGAGATGGGACTTGCCATGTTGCCCAGGCTGGTCTCAAACTACTGGCCTCTAGTGATCCTCCTGCCTCAGCCTCCCAAAGTGCTGGGATTACAGTGGTGAGCCACCGTGCCCAGCCTGAATATGACTTCTTAAATGTGTATACTTGTTTTTGAGGCTATGTAACAACTGTGAGCATAAAGAATGTTTTCCTAGCTGCATGCTTGGACATTTTTAGTAAGAATAATTTAAACCAACACTGGACACATGACTCTTTTTCTTTTTTTTCCCAGACGGAGTCTCACTCTGTTGCCCAGGCTGGAGTGCAGTGGTGCAATCTTGGCTCACTACAACCTCTGCCTCCCAGATTCAAGTGATTCTCCTGCCTCAGCCTCCTGAGTAGCTGGGACTATAGGCATATGCCACCAAGACTGGCTAATTTTTCATACTTTTAGTAGATGGGGTTTTACCACGTTGGCCAGGCTGGTCTCGATCTCCTGATCCCATGATCTGCCCGCCTTGGCCTCCCAAAGTGCTGGGATAACAGGCGTGAGCAACTGCACCCAGCCCCAAGACCCTTTAGAATTTTTTTTTTCATATTAAGAAAATGAGTCTGAGAAACACTGTAGTCTATAATTAAGAATTGATCAGCTGGGTGCAGTGGCTCACACCTGTAATCCTAGCACTTTGGGAGGCCAAGACAGGCTGATCATGGGGTCAGGAGATTGAGATCAGCCTGGCTAACACGGTGAAATCCCGTCTCTACTAAAAATACAAAAAACTAGCCAGGCGTGGTGGTACGTGCCTGTAGTCCCAGCTACTCGGGAGGCTGAGGGAGAAGAATCGCTTGAGCCTGAGAAGCAGAGGTTGCAGTGTGCTGAGATCACACCATTGTACTCCAACCCGGGTGACAGTACGAGACTTGGTCTCAAAAAAAAAAAAAAAACAGAATTGATCATGGGGCCGGGCACAACGGCTCACACCTGTAATCCCAGCACTTTGGGAGGCCTAAGTGGGCACATCACTTCAGGTCAGGAGTTCGAGACCAACCTGGCCAACATGGTGAAATGCCATCTCTACTAAAAATACAAAAAAATTAGGCCGGGCACGGTGACTCACGCCTGTAATCCCAGCACTCTGGGAGGCCAAGACAGGCAGACCACGAGGTCAAGAGATTGAGGCCATCCAGGCCAACATGGTGAAACCTTGTCCCCACTAAAAATACAAAAATTAGCTGGGCCTGGTGGCATGTACCTGTAGTCCTAGCTACTCAGGAGGCTGAGGCAGGAGGATTGCTTAAACCCAGGAGGCAGAGGTTACCGTGAGCCGAGATCACACCACTGTTGTCTCCGAAAATGGAGATTTTTGGACTACAGGGATGCACCACCATGCCTCCCTGATTTTTTATTTTTTCAATGTAGTCCCAGCTACCTGGGAGGCTGAGGCAGGAGGATTTTTGAGCCCAGGAGTTCAAGGCTGCAGTGAGCCATGATCGCACCACTGCATTCCCGCCTGGGTGACAGAGTGAGACCCTGTGTCTTAAAAAAAAAAAGAACAAAATAAAATAAATAACAAAAATAAAACCAGCCAGGTGCCATGGCTCACACCTGTAATCATAGCACTCTGGGAGGCCAAGGCAGGCAGATCACCCAAGGTCAAGAATTCGAGAATAGCCTGGCCAGTATGGTGAAACCTCATCTCTACTAAAAACACAAAATTTAGTCAGCGGTGGTGGGTGCACGCCTATAGTCCCAACTACTTGGGATGCTGAGGCAGGAGAATCGCTTGAGCCAGGGAGCTGGAGGTTGCAGTGAACCGAGATCATGCCATTCCATTCTAGCCTGGACGACAGAGTAAGACTCTGTTTCAAAAAAAAAAAATTAAGGAAAGAGAAAGAATCATGTATAAAGTCAGGAGGACCAGGAACCTGTGGTCAAAGGAGCAACAGATTTCCAGGGGAAACACAACAGGATCAAATACAAATGGACGGGAACAATGAAGATGGGGCCAGGCGTGGTGGCTCACGCCTGTAATCCCAACACTTGGGGAGGCCAAGGCAGGCTTGAGGTCAGGAATTCGAGACCAGCCTGGCCAAAAGGCAAAACTGTCTCTACAAAAATAAGAAAATTAGCCCAATACGGTGGTGCACGCCTGTAATTCCAGCTAGTCAGTAGGCTGAGGCAGGAGAATCGCTTGAACCCAGGAGGGAGAGGTTACAGTGAGCCAAGATCACGCGTCTGCACTCCAGCCTGGGTGATACAGCCAGACTCCATTTCAAAAAAAAAAAAAAGAACGAAGATGGAAACTTCCATAAAATAGTAACTGTGGCCGGGCGCCTGTAATCCCAGTACTTTGGGAGGCCGAGGCGGGCAGATCACGAGGTCAGGAGATCGAGACCATCCTGGCTAACATGGTGAAACGCCATCTCCTGCTAATCTCTCTCATTACTTACAAATTTTTAAATGAGACATATGTGTATGGGCAACACAGCTGCGACTTTAAAATGACATGAGACTAACGCATCTTATTTGCTCCCTGTCAATTAGGGCATATAGAACAACGTTCTCAATTGAAAGCTGAACATAAGTATAGAACTACCAAGACATGGTTGGTGCTCCTTTTAACAAACATCGTCAGTAATACAACTCGGCCTGGTCCATCAATGGGGCGCAGCTTTGAATCAACTGCGCTGTAATTCCCAGCACTTTGGGAGCGCGAGGGTGAGCCGATCAACAGGCAGGAGAACCTCCCAAGAGTCTTATTCCGAGGCTAACACAGTGAACGGACCGCGTCTCTACTGAAACATACAAAAAATTAGCCCGGCCATGGGTGGCAGGCAACCTGTAGTACGCACGGGCCAGCGACTTGGGGAGCTGAGGCGGCGATAGGAGGCACTGAACCTGTCCTGCCAGGTGAGGCCGGAGCTTCTGCAGGTGACCCCGGAGATTCAACAAGGCCCTGTTTCCGCACTTCCATACCGCACTCCAGCCGGCGGTTGACCGAGCCGAGACCTCCGTCTGCAAAAAACAAAAAACAAGAAAAGAGAGAAAAAAATAGCCGGCTGGTGGCA